AGGCAGGGGAATGCGGTGAGGGGAGTGAGGTGAGAGTTATCATAATGAGTGTGATTTCGTGTGTGTAGTTAAAACAATTATTAAGTGAGAAATTTTGTAATGCAGAATTAGTAGTAGTATGTTCGTTAGAAAAAGGCAACTTATATGTAAGATGCGGGCGAGTTTAGGGAGGGCAATAGTTAATCTAACACTAAAGATGTGCACTTATTCTTAATAGTAGCGAGTAAGTATCGGTGGTGTAGGGTGCGACATCATAGCTGTGCTGGTGAGGGTTCACTAAGACTTGGCGAGGTAGGTGGGTCGGGTTAGCGAGAGTGGCGTCGTAGACTGCGAGAATACATCATCAGCGACTTCGTCGGGAGGGCAGCTCAGGTGTGAGTAGTCAGGACGAAGTAGTGTGGCAGACATGGTGTGCGTAGACATGGATCAGGAGAGGTCTTGGTAGCGATGGCTGGCGTTAAGGGCGGCGAGGAGGCACTTCGGCAGGAACTTATCTTCTTAACAGGAACGTTAGGCGCTGTGAAGATCTTGCACCGCCAAGCCACCAGATCTGAAGGAGATATTAGGAGCGCAGAGGTGGTTTATTGGGGAGGAAAAGTGTGACCCCATGAGAGAACCGTGCTCCAGGTGCAAAGGGCGGAGCGTGACCTGCTCTATTCTGCTTCTGCTCTTGTTCTCCTGTCTCTCTGGTCTCTGTCAGTCTGCCTGGCGAGACGTCCTTTTGTCCAGCGACTCCTGTCCTGGGCAGTGCCTGCTTCTGTATTTGGGATGTTAGCTCATACGGCCGTGACTAAGGGGGTGAGTTCGCCGGAATTGCTCGAGGGGGAGAAAGTTACATGGGTAAATAAGGCTTAGGCATAGTAGGTGCGATGCCAGGAAGGAAGGCAGAAGCCTAGGTGCGGCGAACCCATCTGGTTTTGGCCATATTGTTGACATATATATAATAATATATATATATAATATATATATATATATATATATATATATATATATAATGTAT